AATATGGTAGAATAGCATTTATTTTCAAGACAGAGCCAGAAGTCCAAGGACAAGTTTTTAGAAACCCTGATATTTGGGACTAGAGAGGTGGCACAGTCATTAAGAGCATTGGTTTGTCTTCCAGAGGACCCAGGTTTGATTCCCAGGACTCATGTTCGATTCCTAGCACTCACATGTAAGCTTACAACTATCTGTAACAGTCCCAGAGATCTGATGCCCTCTTCTGGCTTTCACAGGCACCAGACATACATGCATATAGGCAGGCAAAATACATTGAGGCAAAACACTCATATACATTAAAAAAAAAAAAAAACTTAATACTACAACTGACATTTTCAAGAAGGTATCAAGTTACATTGGATGGAATGTGCCATGAATTTAGTCAGAAAATACCTTGACTATATCCAGAGCAAGTTGGCCAGGATGAACAAGGCGGTACAAGGATCTTATCACAATTATTATGGGGTGACTTTAGTTTCTTGTGTCATTTGTGGAGTTAGACTCTGACCATCACAATGATGACCACAGTCAGTCTCATAGACTGACATGTCATTAGTGTCCCTATGTGGGCTGAGGCTCTGTCTAGTGTGGATAGTCACCTCCTGCTTGTCTCCTCCATAGTGCATCTTGCTGCAAAGGAACAGGCTGACTTACATGTAGATGGCTCTCTACATCACAGGCAAACCTGTGATGAAAGAATGTCATTACATACTCTTCTTGAGAATACTTTCCTATGGCACTTGCTGTTCCTATACTTTATAACCCTTTGGGACTTCTCCCAGCCTGTCAGTATTCTGAAAAGGTGATTTGATGGTGGATGAGGCACTTTCTGATTGTAGTCCTGTCTCTCCTTTCCTCCAGGTCCCGCCCTCCTAATAATTTTTTTTGAGGGGGTTGGTTTGAGACAGGGTTCTCTGTCTAGCCTTGACTATCCTGGAACTCACTCTGTAGACTAGGCTGGCTTCGAACTCACAAAGATCCACCTGCCTCTGCCTTCCAAGTGCTGGGATTAAAGGTGTGTGGTACCACCACCCAGCTGCTGTACGTAAGCTTTAAGTCAAATTTGTAACATTCAATAACATGAAAAAATTACAGTAAGACTAGTCACTAACACTTCAGAATACTGACAGGGAACACAGAATTTTTATCTCCATTTCACAGATGAGTAAACTGGGGCCAGGAAGAGGATAGAGAGCTGAGATCGTATGTCTTGTAGCACATCAGATGTTCTATTGCTGTGCCAGTGGGAATATGTATTAACATTTAAAATGACTAATGGTTTTCCTTACAGTGGAAGATTTGCTCTTTGGAGGAACATGTGGCAATGTCTAGAGTGTGTGTGTGTGTGTGTGTGTGTGTGTGTGTGTGTGTGCCACTTAGATACAACTAAGCACAACAGAATTATATGGCGTAGAGAATATCCAGAAGGCTGAGGCTGATAAAGCCCTTTTTATGATATATACTCATTTTTAAAAAGTGTACGACTCTCTCAGTTCTTCACCCTTATTAAGTGTATGTATATTCTCTGGGAATGTTTTTATTACTTCTAGCTATACTAACATACATTCTTATGTAAATATCTTATGAAAACAAAACCAGACCTGCAATCTGTAGGTTACTTTTATAACAATAATGCATGATATATTTCCACGTTAAAGTTTTGATGACTAGGTGTAGGACAGCTGGGTAAACTTGTGAGTCTCCTTAGAGGCGGCGTTGCTCTGTGTGGTCTGCACGGATCTTTGCACTTCCTGCACGTGTTCTATATAGTCTGCGTCTGTCTTCGCAATCTGATCCTGCTGTTTGGGGCTACACAGCAGTCTGTGGTCTTCGCCCACACTGGCCCTTCCTTGTGCCCTGTGTGATGGGTTCTTTTGTTTTTCTGTGGACCTCAATGAGGTGGATCCTTGTGTAGCTCCAGGATCTTAAAACGTGTCAACCAGTGCTTTGTCCTGGGTGGTAAGCTAGAGTAATGTGAAACTGCAGAAAAGGGAAAAAGTGAAAGGCAGAGAAAGAGTGGAAAGGGAAGCCCGGAGCTGTGGCACTGAGGTATGTGAGGAGGTATACCAATGCACGTTTACATTTTGGAGGCATTTTAGAAGGAAAATGAGGTGGCTTGGTTTACACTCCTACCTCATTTTGCAGTGAAAGAATTAATTGTTTATATAAAATAAATAATTAAAAACTGTCACGATTCCATCCTAAACAATACTATGATAATTCCTGGTGACGGTTGTAGCCCAGCGCCTCCACCAGCCTGTGGCGTTTTCTTCCCATTAGGGACCTCCACCTGGTAAAGCCAGATCCTGGATTGCCCTGCGGAAAAGAATATCAGGATGAGCCAGAGTAAAGTGGAGTTACTGAGCGCTCCTTAAGCATTTAGACAATAAGTCACCTGGGATCAGGACAGTACATAACCCAAAGATGTGGGTGCAGGGCGTTGAACAGTCGTGCTTGACTTCCACATTGGGTGTGTATGATCCCGTGGCTTCCTAAGTTACATTTCACCACAGAAGTAATGTATAACAAAGCTTAAAGATTAAGCAAAACTTAAAATCTAAGCAAGAACATATGAATTAGTCTACTCATTTTTCTTAAAGACTTTTCTTTTAAAAATGTAAGGTAGTTTTATCAGGTTTACAGCTTAGATATAGGGATGAGAGAGGTGTGCTAATGTGGTAAAACTAAAGGTTACATTTTTTTCTGACCCCAGGTAAGCAGAGTTCATTTGTAGTTTTTAGCATCTTTGTTTGCCATATCTTTAGAACCTACATTGCCACTAGAATCAGTTTTGGTAATTTTTTTGTTTGTTTGTTTGTTTGTTTTCTGTTTCTTTCTTGATTCATCAAGAAAGGCAAAGAAGATTCCAAGGCAAAGGGGACTTCTTTCCTTTCTCACATCTGTTTACTTTTTCCTGTTGCTGTATCCTGCCTCACTGGAACTTGGATATCCTCTCCAGGAATTAGTCTTAGTCTTGGCACTTAGTAGATTCTCAGCAAGTACCTGTAGGCAGTTGAATTCAAGGAAAAGCTAGGGATAACAAAAGCACTGACTGGCCACTGCTGCAGCAGCCCTTGAGTCTTCTACGAAGAACCCAGCTCCATGGATGTTCTCCTTGGAAGAAGGTTGGGGAGTTAGAGGTCCTTCCTCCTAACGTTGCATTTGTTGTCTCTTCTATAGCTGGGCATATGCATAACCCACAGCCTTGTACAGTGTACAGTGAGCAGAAATGGACGTCACCCAAAGCTACAAGCTCTTTGAAGAATATTCAGATTACTGTTTATTACAGCTACAAAATGGAAATGCTCAAATTCCTGTTAGTAGCAGAATGGATATAAACAGATTGTGTATTCATTATCATTGCTAAAGGTGAAAGAAATATTTCAAAATACAAAATGGCATGAGAATAAAAAGAAAAGTGTTCCAGTGTCCACCACCCAGATTTGATACTTTTTGTTTGTTTGTTTGTTTGTTTGTTTTTAATTTAAGAGCTAGAATCTTCCATTAGTAGTGCTTTATGCTGGGAGTGGAATTGGGTAGGTTGAGTCATGTGATTATTTTCCTGAAATTCAGGAGTGGGATGACCTGAGCTTTCTGTGCACATCTTTTCCTGACACCAAGTGAATTACCTGTCATTGGCACCATACAGAACAAACCCAGATTAGCTGCAGATGAAACAGAAGAAGGCCATGCCTCAGCTCCCAAGTGCTGGGAAATCAAATGCCTTGCAATTGTGTTGAAGGACAAATGCGTTTTCTGTTGAAGTGTTTAAAGCAAATGTCTTTTTCCATCAGGTTGTTGTGGAGATACCTTAAATGTTTTGATTGTGTTAATGTGGAAATAAAATGGACACAAGTAGTCTTGGTATCACAGTGACAGCTGTCACTGTTAGCAGGGACACAGCCCCTGTCACATTCCAACCCACCAGCTCACAGGGATGCAGTGTGCTGAGAATAGGATTGTCATAGGGCCAAACTTGAGTTTGCTCTAGTTTATGTTAGAAGAATCATTTCCAAGCTTCTGTTCTTCACTGTTAGCAGTGGTGATTGATTTTTGTGGCTTTTCTTGTGGCTGTTTGTCATAGGGCCATGCCCAGTGAGACTGGTTCCCTTTCCCTACCGCTTGCTCAGTTATTACCCTAAGTTGTTTACATCCTTTATGCTATAATTCTTCACTGTCGTTGATGTTGCTGACTCCATCTGCAAATGAGCAAGCAGACCTGGAGAGGTTAACACTGTGAACAGCAGAGCCACAATTCAAATCTAATTTTGACTGACATCAAAGCTTTAGATCCTAACCAGTCACTCAGTGGGGATCCCTCCTTACTCCCATTACTCTGGTGAACATGATTAACAGAACCCTAAAAAAGTTTGCTAAGGTTCTAGTAACCATTTTCTCAGTACTTTGCAACCTTATCTGATTTGGCCTCCTGGTTTCTGGGTTAGCTGAGTCTAGATCTCAGTCCCGTTTCACAGAGGAAGGCTGTAAAACATCATGAACTTATCCAGCTAATGTTGGGTGTAGATTGAACCATGAGCTTTTATAAAACATAGTTCATTTTTTCAGGGGAAAAATGTTCCACTTGATTTCCGGCCACTTTGGATAACCTTCAACATCATGTTTAAAGTGAAAATGAACTTTGCCCTTATCTTTTAAGATGGAGACATAGCACTCTCCCTGTCTCCTACTTGTCCCAGACTAGAGGATCGATGAGCAGGGAGCCTTAGAAAACCCCTGAGCTATGCAGCACGCTCACACGCTCACACGCATGCATCTGTTAGTCACTTGTGCCCATGGTATGAGTTAATAGTTTCTTGCTTAAAGGTATATGTATATGTAAGTCTGTGGTCCTGATATTCTGTAAAGGTGCATGCTTCTGGACCTAAATATATCTGATGAACTTAAGTGAGATTTTTACTTACTTTTTGGCTGTGTGTATGAGTCCAGTGTTTTTCTGGAGTCATGGTAGCTGACAGGAGCCCATTTTTGGTTGCTTTGAGGTTGCAGCTGCTCCATGGTGGTTACCTGTCAAGGGCGCTAACTGGAGACACCCGGAGGGCCCGGACTCCACTATTCTGCACAGGTGAGTCTGGTCATGCCCAGTCAATGTGGTTCGTAAAAATGAACATTTCTGTGCTCTTGCAGAACTCATCACCTCTCTTCATATGTAAAATGAATGGCAAAAGTAACCAGCCACTCTTGGGAAGGGAAGCGGATGGTGGGAAATAACATGTGAAGACCTAGTCAGTGTCTAGTCACAGTAGGCTTTGACTAAATGGCCTCTTTCCTGCTTCATTTGACTATCAGAGTTCTTCCTCACAGATTTCCCTCCCTTGGACACGTCCTCACAAATCTCATGACATGTTTACTCCTAACAGTCTATCCATGAGTGAGTCTCTAAGTAGAAGAAGAATGCCTGTCTAATGGATAAGTAATTGTGTCCTGCCAGGTGTCTTTGGGTATAGGATCCATGTGCATTTTAGTCCTGGACTGACATATTTAGAAACCACAATCTGACTTAAAAAAAAAAAAAAAAAAAAGAGTGGCAAGTCGGTCAGCAGGTCTCCAGGGTGGCAAGAAGGTAATTGTCTTAAGCAAAAATAGAGACGCATATTAGACCCTGGAGACAAAGAGGGGTTTCGATTATGATTCAGCTTCCCAATAGCCCAGAAACTGCTCTCCTAACCCCATTCTTCAGACAGCATTTTAGGTCTTTGTTTTCAAACATATTCCAGGTTTTTGCACTTATGGTCAGGGAGCAGGGGTTACATGAAGTACAGCTTGAGAGATACAGCCCCTTGATAGATACCAAACTTTTCAAAGTCTGAACTGGTACCCTCTTTGCTAGAAATAAACCTTGAGGTAGAAAGCTGCAGGATTTTGGAGAACCTGGAGAGAACTGGGCCTCTTAGCGCCCAAATCGTATCTTCTTTCCCAGATTTAAAGGTGATTGTAAAACTAGTAGAAGAAGAAGAACTTAAAGGAGACTGCACTTTCTGTTTGTGGTGCTAAGAATCGAACCAAGGGCCTTGTGTTCTACTGCTGGGCTGCACCTCCACACCGGACTGGACATGTATTCAGTAGATGCTGAGCTACTCATGAACATTTGCTGAGAAAAATTAATGAATGTCCTATAGGAAGTCAGAGATGCGCAAGGAGTGGAGTGAGTCAGTCTATTTTGTTTAAAAAAAAAATTAAATGGTGATTTCAGCTCCATTGACTTCCTCTGTCCTCAGGAAAGGCTGAGTTGGGATCTGCTGGAGTGAGGCAAACGGTGCCAGGTGGTCCTTAGTAGGGTAGCAGAAAGATGCAAAGTTTAAGGCCAGTGTCTGGAAACAGGCTGAATGTTTGGCATGTAGAATGTCTGTTAGGGACCCACACTTGTGTAAGGGAGTAGATGCCAAAACTACAGTGTAGGCCCAACAAAGTTCTGGCTCACTTCACATGGAGCTCTGAGGAATGTACAGACTGTAAGCGGAGCCTCTGTGGGCCTTATGTCCCTGCTGTGATAGTCACTGGAGGCTCTAAGGTGCCCCCAACTGCTCCACAAAATGTGGAGGGAGGCAGAAGCGTCTGCTGATGACCCTCTTAGCACTGAACCAGCAGAGGCAGATCCCCTGTGTCTGCCATCCCCATGGGCTCTATGAGCATCTAAGGCTTCACAGTGAAGACGTGCTTGGGTGCAGTTCCAGGAGGAGCTGTTAACCCCTGTGGTCGCCTAAGTCTCCAGAAGCCCCCACTGTTGTGTCCCAACTAGGCTGTGTTTCAAATCATGACCAGACAGAGTGTTTCAGTGGTCACTTTCAGGCCAGTGTCACTTACAACTGTGCTTGCTTCTCCCAAGGCCAAACCATCCGGTTCTGCATGTCTCCTGGAATGATGCTGTTGCCTACTGCACGTGGGCAGGGAAGAGGCTGCCCACAGAGGCAGAGTGGGAGTACAGCTGTAGAGGAGGCCTGCAGAACAGGTACTCACACCAGAAGCCTTGTGCTGTCCACGATGGGTTGACATTCCCTTCCACCCCTTCTTCCTTCCCTTCCCCCCCCTCTTTTTTTTTTTCTCTTCAGCTCTCTGGAACTTGCTGTGGTCAGAAAGTTAATTAATAACAGTTCTTGTTCTTGTTGGATTTCCTTCTTCCTTTGAGGTAGTTTGGTGACAGTGGGGGGGGGGGTGAGGCAACTCTTTAAAAGCCAGGTGTGGAGCCAAATGCTCTCTCCACCGCCTTCCCAGAGCAAGCGCTAGCCACGCACCCCCTCGTGTGTACCCCTCCTCAGAGCTGCTCGGCAGGCTGCCCTGCTTTCAGCATTTTCTTATTTTAGCCATCTTCTTAAGCCATGGTATTCTCTGCTCTAACAGCCATAAGACAGAAAACTCATGTTTGGGTCACATCTTCTAGGAAAAGCTCCTTAAAATAGACAAGCCTTAAAAAAAAGTAGTGTGGTGTGCTGTGCCTGATCATGCTACCATATAAGTCCAGAATGATGCCTCGTTTCTCAGATTTCTAGAAGGCTTCTTTCAGTCACGTCATTTATTTCAGGCTCCTCAGTGGTGAGGAGAGACAGAAGTTGTTGTACATTTGACATGAGTTGTTATAAGGAAAAATTTAAAAATCCCAATTAAATGTTATATTTACGAGTGTATCTTTTAAAGAAAAAAGTTCATCCAGAACAAATGAACATTGTTTGTTCTCTGCCATTGCACCCTTGCTCTTGGCTGCATTCCAGAAGCCTGTGCACCACGCTGATGCCCGTGTCTCTCCTGACAGGCTTTTCCCCTGGGGCAACAAACTGCAGCCCAAAGGCCAGCATTATGCCAACATTTGGCAGGGCGAGTTTCCTGTGACCAACACTGGGGAGGATGGCTTCCAAGGAACTGCACCCGTGAGTAGCCAGGCTTCGAGAGAAGGGCAGTGTCCCTGGGAGCTGAGCAACTGCAGAAATGGGGTGAAAGAACCGGATCTAGCATCACATACCTGAGATACCAGCAGTAGGAAGGTTGAGGCTGGATCTGAAGTTCAAGTTGGTCAAATAGTGAGTTCTAGGCTAGCTTGAGTTGCATGAGACCCCCATCTTTTTTTTTTTCTTTTTTCTTTCTTTCTTTTTTTTTTTTTTGAGACAGGGTTTCTTCATGTAGCCTTGGCTGTCCTGGACTCACTTTGTAGCCCAGGCTGGCCTAGAGTTCACAGAGATCCGCCTGCCTCTGCCTCTCCATGTGCTGGGATTAAAGGCGTGTGCCCTATGCCCGGCTGATAAGACCCCATCTTAAGAACACAAAATCAGGATTAGAGAAATTCTTCAGTGGGTAGGAGGTACTTACTGGGTACAGCAAGTGTGCTGACCCAAGTCACATGTAGAACCCTGGGAGGAGTTCTGGGAGGAGAGAACTGGGAGGAGAGAATACTGGGAGGAGAGAACAGACTCTCATAAGTTGTTTCCTTGTCTCTACACACACTGCGGCATGAGCATGCCCAAATATGTGAGCACATACACATACACACACAAACACATACACACAATCTTAAAAAATCAAAGCAAAGCCCACAAACCAGCTACCCCCCCAAAAAAAAACAAAAACAAAAACTTGACAGGACAAAAGGCATCACTTGTTCTCTGAATGACACTGTTCTCCCTATGTTATCCACCCTCAGGAATGGCAAATGCTAGAAATCATCAGCTATATTTTTAAAGATGCATTTTCCTTTCTGACTGTATAATACATACTATAGATTATTTAGAAAAAGACTACCAGGATGGAGAAGAAATCTAAACTGACCTGGAATTCTGCTTCCCAGGTTAATCTCTATTAGCATTTTGGTCCCTGACCTGCTCATCCTAGGGATTAATGGTGATGGTGGCACTGGCTTTGCAGTGTTGGGAATAGTACAGCATCATATGCCTAGATCTTCTCATTAGTAATGTCCATTTATCTCTTTAAGGTGGGTACTGGTATCCCTGTGATATTCTGAGGTACAGAGATGTAAACTCTTGCTGGGAAATGGCCGAGCTGGATTTGATCAGCTTGGCTTGTTTTTAAAGAGCATGCTCTTAACTTCTCTATTTGCCAGCATGTGTATCTCTGGAGTTCATGTGTCACATATATATTTTCTGTATTGTTTTTCAATCACATTGGATAGAATATGTTAAAGACTTTATTTTTAGTTATGTGTATCAGTGTGGGTATGTGCAGGTGTCCACATAGGCTGAAAGAGAAAGTTGGGTCCCACTAGAATGGGAGTTACATGCAAATACTTCTAAGCTGCCTAACTTTGGTACTGGAAAATGGGTCCTCTGGAAGAGCAGTGCATGCATTAACCACTAAGCTATCTCTAGTCTCCAGATAGAATATTTTAAATCCTACTCTTTCCCTCTTACTGTATGGAACATTTTATTTGTCACTTCTAGGTCATGATCACATTGTCTTTCACTGGCCGGATAACCTGTCACCAAATAAATCCTTATTTGCCTCTGATTGTTATAGATTTGGTTATTTTTACTTCAACTATACTGCAATGAACATCTTGTGTATTCATACTGAGCTTTCTCTGATATTTTAAAAAATAAATTCCCAGCAGCAATCAATGATTAAAGGTTAGAAAACTTCTCTCCATTCCCCTTCCTCACCTTTTCTCTTCCATCAAGAATTGAACCCATTACCTTGCCTGTGGCTAAGCATATGTTCAACCACTGAGATACACTCCCAAGCTAGAAAACTTTCTCACTTAATTGTGTTCTATAGTGCCCATGGCTTGTTTCTTTTTATTGATGAAGAGGAGTTCTCTCATGGAGCTTTTTAGCAACAATACAGTAACCAAGCTGTGTTTAAAAATCCTCTTAGTTTCCTTATTTGAGCTGCTATAACAAAATGCCATAGACTGGATCATTGATAAACAGAAATATGTCTCACAGGTCTGGAAACTAAGAAGTCTAAGATGGAAGCCTCAGTAAGACAGGCATTTGTGTTGATTTGAGGGCACTAAAGAACACTGTGTTCTCATATGGCCAGAGCCAGAGTAATAGCACACTCCCTTCAACCTTGAGCCTGTGTAGAGAAGAACTCATTGTATCAGGCATTCTTTAATCACCTCTATAGGCCACTCTTAGTTCTGTTGAATTAAGGACTAAGTGCCTAAGTTTTGAGGGGAAACCATTCTCTAGACAAGACAAAAACATTTCTGTTTTCTCTTAACACAATGAGGAAAGAAGTTTTGTGGTGGAGAAAGAGCCTATAACTAGGCTATTTTCTTTCAGGAATCTTTGAAACTGCTTCTCTCTCTCTGTCTTTCTCTTTCTCTCACCCTCTCCTTTCTTCTCCCTCTCTCCCTTGGTGACTTCCTTCCTTTTCTCTTTTTCTCTCTCTCTTCCTTTCTTCCTTTTGTCTTCTTTTTTAATTTGCATTTTTTTCCTCGAGAGAATCTTACTGCAGAATCTATTTGTACATCTGACACAGATATGCTATTTGGAATATGACCAAATAGTTAGAAATTTTCATCTTGAAAACTAAATAAGTGAGAGTAAAAGACGGAGAAATTCTTGGAGCAGAAAGAGTGAAGGCACCTGGTCTCAGAGAAACTAGATGTCAGTTTGAGCTACTGTTAGCAGTGCAGTTTGGAGCAGAATTTAATTTAAAAAAAAAGTTGCTTGGGAATACTTAGTCCTACATAAACACAAGATGCAGTCATGTTTGTATCCAGTTCCATGTATGTGAGTTACATATATGTTAAGCCAACACAAAGTGATGGGAGATGATGCATTATTCAGTAGAGGCAAAAAAGGCAAATCAAGCCATCTGGTGGTTGGGCCCTCTTCAGTTTCTTTCAGGATAGCTGCTTCACTCCCAGGCACATCTTTGTATTTGGTAAAATATTTGAGGTCTTTGGGAGGAAGGATTTCTACTTTTCTTCAGCCTTTAAATGGATGACAAGCCTCTTGGTAGGGAGCAAGATGTGGTGTGAGGGCTTCTAGGGGGCCTCTTGGCCAGCAGAAGTGCTAGAGCAAAATGTCAGTGGTGGTGCCTGTTGTGGGCATGCTGTCAAACTCCAGGAAGGGCACCGGTTGTCTGGGCCAGTGAGATGCTCAGTGGCTTGCCACCTAGCTAGGCAATCTGAATTTGATCCCTGGAACCCATATGATTGAAGGAGATAGACTTCCATTAGCCAACCTCTGACCTCCACATACACATTGTGATACATGGGTGTGTATGCTCTCTCTCTGTCTCTTTTTCTATGTCTCTGTCTATCTGCCTGCCTGCCTGCCTGTCTCTCTGTAATTAATAAAAAGATGTTAGTTGTTACAGAGAGCAGGGGAGTAGCTTCACATGTAGGTGCAGGAAGCACCGAAAATTGATAGCACTGCCTGCCAAATTCATTTCCAACCACCTCTGGATGTGAACACATGAAAGATCCTGGAGGAAGGATGGCCTTGGCAGGACGGGGCTCCCTCAAAGCATGTTACAATAAACTCTGAATCCAGGGCATTGCTCAGACGGAGCAGACCTTAGTTGTTATAGTAACAGCGTTCAAATGAGAGCTGTGAAGGTCAAAGTACAGAACCATCCACATGCTCAGCTGTGGAACAGAATCATGTTGTCCTGAGAGATGGGCAGGCTCCATTCCAGAGGCACAGGTGACAGCCACCATTGTCTCTGTTGTTTGAAGAAGTCTGTGAAAGCTGTAACAAACCAGATACATAATGTAAGCCCTGGTAAATGTTAGTAGGAGGCCACAATAAAACTGCTTTGAGACTCACAGATATTTCCTGTGATTACCACCACAGTATTGTATGTTCATTTAGTTAGGTGAGCTAGAAAAAAAAAGAAACAAGCCATTTCTGGTTACCTTTGTAAACAACACAAAGCTCAGAGATCCTGGTACACACACACACACACAAACAGAGAGAGACAGACAGACAGACAGACAGAGAGGTCTGTATGAGATAGGGATGCTCTGCAGATCTGCAGATATTGTTATGGTCCTGTGGAATGAGCACTAAGGTACACAAGCTCCTGCTCTGCCTTTCCATTGTTGGGCATTAGAGTGTTTGACACTGCAGTCAGCAGGTGTCTGCAGAATTTACCAGAGGACACTGCTAACCCAGATACCAGGATAAAATGGATACAGTTACCAGGAGCCCTGAAGGAACCTGAAACTAGACGTGGTCAAGGATGAGGCAAGTCTCAGAGGGGTCGTGTCTGTGTTAGGTGTGAGACCACTGTCTTTAAGTTGAGTTGATGCTTACAAAAATCACCTTGGGTTGACCTGAACTATCTTTACTGTCAGCATGTTCTGGGAAGCTGAGGACAGGAATTTAACTTATTTGTTCATTTTCATTTTTAAGACAGGGTCAGGCTAGTATCAAACACCCAGTGCTCCTACCTAGACTCTTTGAATGTTGAGCATAAGGAGCTGAATGTGTATTCTGCATTTCACTGTTACATTATCATTAATCCATTTTGTGTTTTAATGCTTATCAACTCATGTGCCTGAAAATTAGCATTTCAAGAAAGATTTGTCTTTTCTATTTGTTTTCCTCTGAGCAAGCTTTGGTTAGTGTGATTCATATAACCATGAGCAGTGGGAAATTCATTTCCCATACTGACATACATATAATGTTAGTAATTAAGAGGGTAGTAACCTTAAGATTTTACCTCAAATATCCTATTATTTAAACCTTTGATCAGGCACTGTTACTTTGCTGTTTAGGACTAATAGCACCGATGAAGGTTGGCACAGATTCTTGAGAGCACCTCTGCCTCTACCTTCTAGAAGCTTGAAGGTGGATTTCTTCCTCCAGAATGTGTGTTTCAGTTTCTTATTCTCCCCACATGCCTCATGGCATCCTCTACTTTCTCCCCTCAGCCAACTCATCTCTTCTTATTCCCTTGAGCTTAGTCCGAGGGCCCCTTTCTGGTCACCTTCATGTTGCTGAACAAAATAGCTTATGCTGTGGCCTCCACTCCCTCTTGTCTCTTATATTTGGATCGCAGGGCCTTATTCCAAGGAATGCCTAGATCGCCCCGCCTGAGTTTGCCCTTGTGATTTATGTGTGTGAGAGAGGGTCTGATGTGGCCCAAGCTGACCTCAGACTCACTGTGCAGCCCAGGGTGGTCTTGACCCTCCTGCCTTCCTGTCTCTGCCTCCCAAGTGGTAGGGTTGCCTGCGTGCCTGTCATGACCAGCTCTCTAGAGCTGACTTTTTAGTTTAGAGACATTCTCTTTTTCTTCCCTCATTAAACTCTTTAAGATCTCTTTGCCACTGAGCCCCTCCCTGCCCGTACTGGCCGCACATGGCATTTCTGAATGAGCCAAGGCTGTTTCCATAGTAAATGCTGATTATGGAAGCAGCATGGTGGGATTTTTCGACTTTTCCAGCTCATCTCCATGAACTTCTTTTCAGTGGCTTCCTAACTTTGATTGAAATGCACTGAATTGCCCAAGCAGCAGATGCTTCCGTATTCATGTGTAGATGTAAAACCATCTGAAACCACGTAGACATGAATGTTAGTTTATTCATTCTTACAGTCTTACTTTGTTAGTATGGAAAAGCATGAATTATGAGAAGAGAAAAAAAGTTTCCAAAGATAACTTTTTTTTTCATCACAAACTGATTTTTTTTTAATGTCTATTGAAAAGAGGTGAAAGAATTTCTTCCCCAAGGATTATTTTTGTGCCTTTAATTTTTTATGATATGCTCCCCTCCCTGCCTGTTGTGGAGACCAAACCTAAGGCCTCTCAAGCAAGCACTCTACCACTGAGCTAAACCTCCAGTCCTGGTTGGGAGAATTTTTAAATCACGAAACTGACCAGTGACCTGAGTTGACTGTTGTTCAGTCTGAGTTGTCTCCTCTTGCCCTCTGTCTTACATAAACTTCACCTTGCTTGTGTGCCTGTGGGTGTTACCCAGCACTCTCTGACCTGCCTTTGAATCATGCCGTGACCCTTGGTGGATGTGTAATTTGCTGTAGACCGCTGCAGTCCAGAGACCTGCTGTCAGAAACACATGGGATAATGAGCTAACAGTTTCCTTATTCCATGACAGCGACTGAGGCTCAGAGATAAGGTGGTAAACTGGATGGAGCTTGTGGAGAGGGCAGTGTTGGGTTGGCGTCTATGGCCCTGAAAGACACTGTGTGCCTGGAAAAGCTGATTTTTAGTAACAGGACTTACATCGATACTAGAAGGACATTTCGGTTAATGATTTTGAAGGCCTAAATACTCTGTGTCTGCACACATGCACACACAGGAACACACATGCATGTTCACGTGTGTACATATGCATATGCACACACATGTTCTCACATGCACCCTCTCACCCATGCCAGCAAAGCCTGTGTACTTACCACTAGTGTTAGTCACTAGTGACAATTAATTCACCAGTTCCAGGCCGCTTAATAAATTCCTCTTGTGTTTATAAACTCCTTTTGAATACTTAAAGTAAAAAACGAAACAGAGGGGCAGGGCTTTTTGCTTTTATGTTGTCCAGGTTGGTTTTCTGATAGGTGGGGATGAAGATTGATATTCATATTCTGAAATAAATAGGTCTTGGTTCATTCATGTACCAAAGAGATCTTTAAAGCAAGGTGAGTAACTGGTCAGTGTTGTTTTTTTATTTGTAGGTTGATGCCTTTCCTCCCAATGGCTATGGCTTGTACAACATAGTGGGGAACGCATGGGAGTGGACCTCAGACTGGTGGGCGGTTCACCATTCTGCTGAGGAAACCGTCAACCCAGTGAGTATCTGGTACAGCGGGCTTGTTTCTTGAATGGTGACACTTGTCCTCTAAGCAGACAACAGCGAGGATTTCATGTGTTTGTCTTGATATCAACCTTACATTTCCCTAAACAAATGCCAATCGCTCGTCTCATTTCAGCTGTAGAGCCCTTTATAAAAATGTCTTATTTCATGTGCCACTGGATTGTGATAATGGTGACTATTTTGGTCATTTACCTATGCTTCATCTCATAAACTTGAACAAAGTGTGATGCTTAAATGGCTTCAAAATTCATTACTGTTTTAATATTAAGTGATAAGATCCACTAGGTGGCATTTTTCATGAAACTCTTGGCCTGGGTTGTGATGAGTCCAGATTTTGATTCAGCAGCAGCATTTGAAGAAAATGAGGATGGGTAAATGCGGAGTCAGGAACTTGAGCCACTTAGAGGTTGTTTCACAAGCTTGTCTATATAACAGGAGAGAGCACTATATTCTTCAGGAATAGAAGACCGTCTTGTCCCTCTGAGCTTTACTCACTCTGCTTTGTAAAGAATGCTGAACACAAGGTCCCTTCCTCTACAGCCAAGCTGTCCAGTACCGTACATCAAAACAGATTTGAAATGAGTATGTGTTTGGACAGTTCCTTCTTTATAAAGAACATCTTCTTGTCCTTGAACACATTGTAGGTGGAATATATAATAGTTCCATTTCTAACAAATGTAGGCATTCGTTAGTATGACCAAAGAACAGTACTAAAACCAGTCCCACTGGAAATGCTCTATCCTTAACCTTTTGCAGCACCTAGAACATTCATTCTTTAGTTAGGTTAGCCAGTTTAGAGTTATTGAAAAACCTGTTGGACTCCATGCCTCAGGCTATTTTCAGAATGTTCGGATAAGTTTCTGTTTGATATGCTTAATTTGTTTTCACAGAAAAAATATGTGGGCTGCTCATGAATAATCCAGAGATATGTATCTACTTTTCTGGGAGTGCAGATGAAAAGGCTGAGTTCTTTCGAAACTCTACCCACCCTTTCCTTTCCTTTCTGGCAAGGCTGGTGGAGGTAGAGGTCAAACAACCTGTGTCTCCGAGTGGGAATAAGGTTGTGCATATTTGGGGAGGCTGTACTTGGAGCAGCCACTCTCTCCACTGGCAAGGCGTGACTTGGCATTTGCTGTCAGAGGCAGAAATAGATTTTTCCCTGTCAGATTAAAGCATCTGCATGCTTGGAAGGGGCTGTGCAAGGCTCCAGAATCTTGGCAAGTTGTGAATGTATCTATCTGACCATCTGGTGTTGAGCTGAGTACTCATTAGCATTCACTTTTGTAGAGGTTTGACTTTTTCCTAAGAATTTGTAGGAAAATTCACATTTTCACTAGTTTCAGGCCATTTCCTGGATGTCACTCTTTTTCTACTGAAATGGTCCCATTGAGATTCTTCTTTGTCACAGTGGTCTCATTTGCTTTATGATTTGATGGGGTTTCAATTCAACCATTTTTGAGAACTAAATCCCAAATAAGTGATGCCATCATTGAGATGTTACGGCTTTCTTTACCCAGTAGACCAGCTGTCATCATTGTCTTTCATCAGTTTCCTCATCAGCTGCCTAGGTGAACTTCCTGCCTTCACTCAGTCTGCCATCTTTCAACAAGAGTGGTCTTTGTGCAGAACAAATCCAATATTGTTACTTTTCCATTCAGATTCATGTATAAGTGTTCTCTCTCTCTCTCTCCCTCTTCTTCCCCATCTTCCCTTTCTCCTCCCCCTCCCTTCCTCCCTCTAGCCCTCTCTCCTCTCTTCTCTCTCTCTTGAGTTGTAGTCTTGTTGCATAGCCCAATCTGGCTTGGAGCTCACTATATAACCCAGACTGGCCTTGAACTAGGAATTCTCTTGTTTTTGCCTTCAGTGTGCTGCTGGAATTACAGGTTTGTTTCAATATGCCTGGTTCTGAATGACTTCTTGCTGTCTACAAACTAAAGAAAGGGTAACTTATCAATATGACTCTAAAAGCCAAATATGATTTAGCCTTTGCTATTCTCTTTTTTAGATAATTTTAACTATGAAATGTTACAGAATTTCTTCTACAGAGGAGTAGAGAAAGCACCATAATAGGAACCTGCATATCTGCTTTTTTTTTTTCCTTTTTTGTAATCAAAGAAAAAAGGTAAAAGAACAAAAGTTGTTCTTACTGGCACTTGGTGCTGTCAGTATTTTATGCTTCAGCTCCTCTGCTCAGTGTTTAGTACTATTTTACTGTGTGTTTTCAGTAAAATACTTTTAAAAAACTTATTTTTTTAATTTTTATTTTATGTGTATGAGTACTTTGCCTGCCTGCATGTGTCTGTACCAAGTGGGTATGTGTTGTATACAAAATTAACTGTATACAAAAATAACTAAAAAAAAAAAAAATCAGTAGCCCTCTTTTATACAAGTGAAACAGGCTGAGAAACAAATCAGGGAAACAACAGCCTTCACAATGGCCACAGGTAATATAAAATATCTTAGTGTAATTCTAAACAAGCAAGTGAAAGATCTGTGTGACAAGAATTTCAAGTATTTGAAAAAAGAAATCAAAGAAAATTTTAGAAGATGGAAAGATCTCCCATGCTCATGGATCAGTAGGATTAACATATTAAAAATGGCCATCCTGCCAAAATCCAACTACAGATTCAATGCAGTTTCTATCAAACTTCTAACACAATTATTAAAGACCTTGAAAGAGTAACCATTAACTTCATATGGAAAAATAAAAGATCCAGAATAGCTAAAAAAAAAAAAAAAAAAAAAAAAAAAATCTGTACAATAAAAGAACTTCTGGAGGTATCACCATCCCTGATTTCAAGTTGTATTGTAGAGCAATAGTAATAAAAACAGCATGGAATTGACATAAAAACTGACAGGTCCACCAATGGAATTAAATAGAAGACCCAGTAATAAACCCACATATCTATGGACACCTGATTTTTGACAAAGATGCCAAAACTATACAATGGAAAAAAGAAAGCACCTTCAACAAATGGTGCTGGTCTAACTGGATGTCCACATGTAGAAAAATGCAAAGGATCCATATTTATTGCCCTGCACCAAACTCAAGTCCCAAGTGGGTCAAAGACCTCAATATAAAGCCAGATATACTAAATCTATTAGAAGAGAAAGTGATGAAAAGCCTTGGACTCATTGGCACAGCAGACAAATCCTGAAAAGAATAATAACAGCTCTAAGATCATCAATTAATAAATGGGACCTCATGAAACTGAAAAGCTTCTGAAAGGCAAAGGGCACTGTCAGTAAGACAAAATATCAGCCTACAGATTGGAAAAAGATCTTCACTAATCCTATATTCAGTAGAGGGCTAATATCCCAAAATATATAAAGAATTCAAGAAGTTATACACCAACAAACCAAATAACCCAATTAAAAAGTGGGGTACGGCAAATGTCCTTGTTGTATATTTGAACATCTTTTGGATATATGCCTAGGAGTAGTATAGCTGGCTCTTGAGGAAGCGCTATTCCTAATTGTCTGAGAAAGCTCCAGATTGGTTTCCAATGTGGTTGTACAAGTTTACATTCCTACCAGCCATGGAGGAGGGTTCCTCTTTCTTCATATCCTCTCCAGCATGTGTTGTCAATTGAGTTTTTTATATTATTTGCTCAACCATGTTCGTAGCAGCTTTATTTGTATTAGCCAGAAGCTGGGAAACAACCCAGATGTCCCTCAGTTGAGGAATGGATACAGAAATTGTGGTACATTTACACAATGAAATACTATTCAGCAATTAAAAACAAAGAAATCACGAAATTTGCAGGCAAATGGTCAGATCTAGGAAAGATCATCCTGAGTCAGGTATCCCAGAAGCAGAAAGACACACATGTTATGTACTCACTTATAAGTGGATATTAGACATCTCATATAGGCTAATCATACTAAAATCTGTACACCTAAGGAAGCTAATCAAGAAGGAGGACCCTGAGTAAGATGCTCAAGCCTCATTCTCAAAGGGAAATGACATGGACATTGAAAGAGGAAGATAACAGGAAACAAGACAGGAGCCTATCACAGAGGGCCTCTGAAAGTCTCCACCCAGCAGGCTATCAAAATATATGCTGAGACTCATAGCCAAACTTTGGGCAGAGTATAGGGAATCTTATGAAAGAAGGGAGAGATAGAAAGACCTGGAGGGAAAAGGAGAGCAACAGAACCAAAAAATCTGGGCCCAGTGGTCTTTTCTGAGACTGAAAAACTCCAAACAAGGACCATGCATGGAGATAACCTAGAACCCCTGCACAAAAGTAGCCCATGGAAGCTCAGTGTCCAAGAGAGTTCCCCAGTAATAGAAACAGGGACCATTTGACATGAACTCATGGGCTGGCTTTTTGATCACCTTCCCCTGAGGGGGGTACAGCCTTACCAGTCCACAGAGGAAGACAATGCAGCCAGTCCTGATGAGACCTGATAGATTAGGGTCAGATGGAAAAGGAGGAGGACCTCCCTTATCATTGGACTGGGGGAGGGGCATAGGAGAAGAAGAGGGAGGGTGGGTGGAATTGGGAGGGGTTAGGGAGGGGGCTACAGCTGGGATACAAAGTGAATAAACTGTAATTAATAAAAATTTAAAAAATTTAAAAAAGTGGAGCACAGAGCTAAACCAAGGATTCTTAACAGGATTCTCTAATGGTTGAGAAACACTTAAATGTTCAATCTTCTTAGTCATCAGGGAAATGCAAATCAAAACGACCCTGAGATTCTATCTTACACTGGTCAGAAAGGCTAAGGTCAAAACCTCAAGTGACAGCATACGTTGCTAAGGATGTGGAGCAAGGGGAACACTCCTCCATTGCTGGTGGGAGTACAACCCCTTTGGAAATCAGTCTAGAGTTTCTCAGAAAACTGGGAATAGATCTGCCTCAAGGCCCAGCTACACTGTGGGAATCAGGAACCGAGTGGATGGGGAGTGAGTGGTGACGGAGCTCATGCGGAATCTCCGGAATCAGACTCCAGAGACCATACTCAAAG